CAAAATATTGAGTCTTCCTGGCGTTGGATGCGTCGTGAATTATCTCGCGGTGTTCAGAAAGATTCTCTTGGTGATCATTTGTGTGAATTTTTGTGGCGTCGTCGGGTTCGAAAATTGGGTCAAGATCCTTTTATGCAACTGCTTATTGATATTAGATGTTATCCAAGGAAAGCGTAATTTTGTTTGCGTTTTAAATATAAATATTTTTATAAAAATAAAAAAGCATTAAAAACAAAATAAAAAAGTAAACGTAAAAAATTATAATAAAATAAAAAAGTATAAAAGTATAAAACACTTAAAAAAAAAAAAAAAAAAAAAAAAAAAAAAATCACAAAAATAAATGTGCCGAATTCTTCGTCACGTCCTCGACCTTCGTCACGTGTTTTAAATATTAATAGTTTAAAAAATAAAAAAGCATTAAAAACNTTTATAAAAATAAAAAAGCATTAAAAACAAAATAAAAAAGTAAACGTAAAAAATTATAATAAAATAAAAAAGTATAAAAGTATAAAACACTTAAACAAAAAAAAAAAAAAAAAAAAAAAAAATGGAGTCAATTCTTCGTCACGTCCTCGTCGTTGACCGGGCTCGGCTGAGAACGAAGAATATATTGTTGCATTTCTGTTTGCACAGAAATTATATGGCACGTAGAACAACGCAAATAAAGATACCATATTGATGCCTAAAATGCTTAAAACGAATGCACCTATTGTAGGAACATAGGTTAGGGTTAGGTTAGGGTTCAGGGGGGGTACAGGGGGGACGCAGTCTCCCCTGCCTACACGGATACACCATAAAAAGAACATAAAAAAATACCTAATATGATTTCTGTGCAAGCAGCATTCTGGAAAAACGGGAGATAAATTTGCATATTAAGGATGATCTCACCGATTTCAATGATCTTGACATATATTGTCAAGGTGACCGTCCTGAGTAACAATCGGAAAGTTTTAGCAGTCGCTTGTTCTTCGTTATAAAGTTATGGACGAAAAAAATTTCATAATTGAACCATCGTTTTTTGACACCGTATATATTTTAGACAAAGAATGTATAATGTTTTAGACATATGTGTGTGTAATGTATAATAGTTTAGACATAATATGTCTTATACATAAGTATTTAGTTTCTAAACAATGAAATTTAAAATTAAGAAAGAAATTTTAAATTTAAATGTAAAAATCACACAATATGTGACCTAAGAAATATTCACGTACAATGTGTTGTAAGCGTGTAGGCAGAGAAGGGCGCAGCCCTGTATAACACGAACAAACAGAACATATATAAACAAAGTAGTCTTCTTTTAGTACTTTTGGGGGTGCAGAGGGAAGGGTCGAGCCTCTTTCTCGCGAACACGTGCAATAATGTAACACAATCCAAATATTTACTTCTCAAATGTACACGGTGTCGAAAATCGATAGTTCAGTTATGAAACTTTTTCTGTCCATAATCTTTTAATGAAGAACGAGCGACAGCTAAAACCTTTCAATTGTTACTCGGGAACATGTTCGTGACAACATATGTCAAGGTCATTGAAATCGGTGAGGTCGTCCTTAATATGCAAATTTATCAAACGGGATCTGTGCAATGTACTTTATGGTAGGGCACCGATAACACAAATTTCTTTTGCGCAGATCAACAGTTGCACAGATCCCGTTTGCCTAAATCCCGTTTGCACAGAAAACTTTTCTACAGATCCCGATTACACATAGTCGTTATTATTACATTTGCGAAGTAAATATTTTGTTTATATCACACAGATATAGTGAGGGGCTCCGCCCCTCTCCCTGCACTCCCTCCCCGAAAAATCTAACCTAAACTAATCTATAATATGTCTATGCAATCGGGATCTGTACAAAAGTTTTCTGTGCAAACGAGATATTGGCAAACAAGATCTGTGCAACCGTCAATCTGTGCTAAAGAAATCTTGGCTATCGGGATCCTCCCGTACTTTATGTGTAAGCGAGATCTGTGCAATAAAATTTGTGTGCAATAGTCACTCTGAACAAATAAAATCTTGGTCAACTACGTCCTCTGTGCAATGACGAATATGGGCAATCAGAATCTGCACAACCATGTTTTGTGCAAACGGGATCTGCGCCAAAAAAATCTTGGCTATCGGTTTGCCTTGCCATATACACATACTATTATTATAGCAGAGCCTTTCTGTCTACCTACGCGTTTCAAATACAAACATAGAGACTATTCTTTTAGTGCAAAAAAGAAGTCTTTTCTATTATCTCATATTTTTCGAAAAGTATTGATTCTATGCAAAAAATGCATAGAACATAAATCATGTATTTTTTTAAGACCTACAACTTTTATTTAAAACATTTTTTTGCTATAAATATTTATCAAAATAATGTTAAAAAAGTGATAATTTTTGAGTTTTTTTTTAGTTTTGACCTTGAAAATGACCTTGTCGGTGATTTTCACTATCATATTCGTAATTAGCGCACCAAAATACAGTAGTATACCAATCGACAGAAAAATCGGGTATTTGACGTTTTCGGAACTTTATCCAGTTATTTTAAACAATTATTGTAACATCGTCAAAAGAAAACTGTACGAAATATAAGTGAATAAACAATTTTTTATATTAATCAGTGTCACGATTCTTACAGATTAAGCCAGTTTCGTCGATGAATGGGTTTAGTGCTGCGATTTTAGATTTGTTTTTTGAATTTTTATTCTCGAGCTATATGAGCTCGTGCGGAAAACAAGAGGCTTGAATGATCTTTATTATTCTTGTTTTTGCTTCGATTATCTCTTGCACGCATAATTGTCGGTGATATTTATTTTGTAATCGCATACAAAGACAGTATGCCACGATTTTCAATAATTTTCTATAAGACGAGTATTTTTCGATAATACTAGGATCGACAGTTATTATTAGACGTACATCTCATTAACTATTGCGAATTTCGCAAAATGACAAATAACTTTTCTATTCAGTTTCACTCAATCTATCTCCATACTTCGACTGTATCAACATTTTTCAAATACTGTATACAAAATGTCTGAAAAATTTTGACACAACCGAAGTGTGAAAATAGATTGGATTAATCTGAACTGAAAAGTCATGTATCAATTTGCAAAATTCGCAATAGTTATTGAGTAATTAAGTAATACATGTAGTTCAATGAGCGCGTAGTAAACGATGGTCTAGACTCTGGAAGCGTGTATGATTTTCAGTTTTAAAACTCAGCTGATCGCAAGAAGCTGTCACTCGCCACTCGCTTGTTTACTCCGCTTCTTGCTCTCTTTATCTCTTAGGAGATTGCATGAAGTAAGCCATTTTTCTTTCCAATTGAAAATCATATACGCCTACTAAGTCCGGATCATTACTTTCTACACGCTCATTGAGTCACATGTATTAATTAATCATTCAATACCTATTGCAAATTTTGGAAAATGGTACTAGACTTTTCTGTTCAAATTGACCCAATGTATCTTCACACTTCGGCTGTGACAAAATTTTTCAGACATATATATACAGGATATCCGACAATTACTTTAGCATCTCTCGTAGGCAGATAGAAGGAGTAAAACTGAGTCAAATAGTCCTAAACTATTTTTTTTTCTATTCCATATAAGAAAGGAGTAATTATTGAATAAATCAAGCCAATCAGCGCTGACTTTTAGCCAAACGCACGTCAGTGAACCACGCGCCTGGTGTGCGTGAGCGCTCCGCGCGGCTCACTAGCGTGCGCCTATTATCGGACACTCTGTATAATGGATGTCCAATAATTACGCGCGTAAGACAGCCCGATGCATGCTTATTCGCGGATCTTTGTTAATTAAGATCTTGATAACTATTGCGAATCTCGTCAAATGGTATAGGACCTTCCGACTTAAGTTTACTCCTTCTACCTGCCTACAAGAGATGCTAAAGTAATTTTCGGACACCCTGTATACATATATATATATATATATAATCGGTTTGTCGGAGCTTTTCGTATTTTAATATAAAAATACAAAAATTTTTCTGATCAACCCAATATACATTATATATATATATATACACACATTATATACATTATAAATATATAATATTTATATACAATATTTATATACAATATTTATATATAATATTTATTACTAATAAAATATTTATATAATATTTATATTTCTCAATTTTATATACAGTATTAAAAATTTTAAGCCTATACGAGACACTTAAATATATTTATAGTTTTTAGAGAAACAAACAAGAATTATCCAGGCATTTGGGCAAATGTGAATAAAAACATAAGATGTTCGTGTGTATAGTTTTTATTACATACAAACGAACATTTCGTGTTTTTTTATCGCATCTGCCCAAATATCTTGTTTCATTATCTGACAAGCTTATTCAAGAATGATCCACATATTTTAGAAGTTCGTTTTACTATGTATTATATCAATAATAATGATTCACAAAAAACTTTATGTATTGCAATTTGTACAAGATACAACAATTTTTTTATGATTTCTGTCTTTCTTTTATGTCTTATGATTTCTATCTCCCTTTTATGTTTTATTCCAATATAGCTACAAATTAAAAGTATTCTTTTAAGAAAAGGAAGAAGAAAGAATAACATAATAGATACGAAATACATTTGCAACATTATTTATGTGTAGTACACACACATACACACGCAAGATATAACTTCCTGATTATAAGAATTTTTTTAATCAGAGGCAATTCTCATTAATTACTTTTTTTAGCATTAATGATGAGTCGCATTAAGGCATTCATGATTGCAATTTGGAGTAATACACGCAGGACCACACTGTATAACTAGCGAGAATATTAGGTTATGCGTTGCAGTAAATATTGCGGATGAAAAAACAGCAATAAAGCTGACACGATAAAGTGAGTGTGATGATAAGTGAGCAAGTAAAATATAATACGGAATACAGGTATTCTGACATTAAAAAAAGGAAAGAGATGGAAGTGGGAATGGACAAAGCACATGAAATTGAGAACACATTTCCCAAAAAAACTAATTATACGATACCCTGTCTTTGTACGTGTCTTCACATTCTTTCTGAAAACAAATAGGATTATTGAGAAAATTAAAAGCTTATCTAAGATACACTTTACAAAAAGATAATTTTAAATCACCTGTATTTGTTCACAAAAAATCAATATACAGTATATTCGATAATTCCAACATAAACAGATTTTCAATCTTCATAAAAAAAGAAACTAAGAAGATACAATACAATAAAAGTTTGCTTTTATTGTAGCTTTACATTAAAAATAATATTATAGCTTTACATTAAAAATAAATATTACAAAAACTTTATACATTATAAAACGGTAATTTGCAATTTATATGAGACATTCTTTGCCAAACATCCTAAGCCCTCCAAAAATTATGTGGTTCAAAAATTCGTCCAAAGTCGCAAAAGTTAGATAAAAGCATTTTTTGATATAATGTGGCAGTTTTTTCAAAATTCAAAGTGGTTGATCCAATATAGCGGCCATAGATTCAATTATTCACGACAAATGACCCTCATATTGTCTAAGTAACTAAAAATCCCTTGAATAGGCTTGAAAATAATCTTTAAAAGCTTTTCGAAATTATTGCTTGGGATCAAAACTGATCTAAATCTGACACTGGTAGTAGAGAAGAAGCGATGTAGATACAACAGAACAAAACAGAACATCTGATATTTGATGCTTTCGCGGTGTGTTGTATTAACATACAAAGATGTTTTTCGGGTTTGAACCGCGTTAGTGTCATTCTTATACCGACGTTTCATGAACATTTCAGCTCACTTTATCAAGGTTTAAAGAACAACCTGACACAGTATCAGGTTGCTTCATCAGGGTTTAAAGAGCAACCTGATACTGTATCAGGTTGTTCTTTAAACCTTGATAAAGTGAGCTGAAATGTTCATGAAACGTCGGTATAAGAATGACACTAACGCGGTTAAAACCCGAAAAACATCTTTGTATGTTAAACCAGAACATCTATAAAAAATCTAATCAAATTCGAATGACAACAGCACCTATAGGGTTTTCGAAGTCGTTGATTACAAATTTAAGATCGAAATTAATCTAAATCGGACACTGGTAGTGATAAAAGAGAGGAGATATAATGAGGTAAAACGGATCACAAAATCTACCCGATGAAAAACAACATTTATAAGTTTTATAGGTTTTCAGAATCGCTGACTACGAATTTAAGATCAAAACTGACGTAAAAGTAATACTGTTAGTGGTGAGAAAAAAGTTAAAAATTCTGACTCCAGATTCGTAGTTAGCGACCCCCAAAACTCTGTATAAGCTCAAGCTTTTGCGCAACCCATCACTATATCTATACATATACCCTCTACGCACGCACGCACGCACGCACACAAAATCAGATTGATGCCACTTTTACGCAGTTGATTCTGGATAACGCCACGTGCATGAAAGTTTTACTTTTGGCCGTCGTTTTTGATAGAATTGTTCGCAGAAATTTAAAAGTACAGTAGATTCTCACTGTAAATTCGCTAATTATAAGTCCGTCTGAGTGCCTTTCCCGCTACATATACGTTCACGCACACACAAGTCACTCCTCTACATGTCTGCACGCACAAAGTCGATGGGATGGCTTTACTCTGCCGTCCTTTACTATGCTCAATAGTTTCGTCCTCGATGCTCAATAGTTTCGTGCATCGAGGCGTAGAGGGGGCTCCAGCTATAGATCCGTTTCCCAGAAGTTTCCGCTCCTACAGTTCCAAGATCAGATCTATAGCAAGAGTCTACTGTATTAGAGTTTTGATCAACCTTCCCTCTCTGTTCATATCCTTATATTGTGAGAGATGTTTAAGTTGCTAGTTCCAACGGTGATCAGGATCTCGGCATCCTGCTAAAAAAAAGGTGCCGACAGATGGCGTGATAGACTGCCAGTCGGTTATCATCAGAGCAGCAGCACTGTGATCGGCGCTTGACGGCGAACGAATCCCCACCCCTCGAGAAGTAGAGATCGCGTGATCTAACGGCGAAGTAAAGATACAATAGAAAAAAGACTGCGAGTTTTGTATGAGCGATAGCGTAGATTTTGGAGATTTCTTCGGCAGCAGAGGTCAAACCTCTGCTTTTAATTATATAAGATTATTTTACTACGACAGATCAGAAGTGGGATATACACACGTGCCCGTGAGTTTCGGAATTTTTATTAGCGTATCGACTGGTGCGTAATAAGTGAACAACGAACTTCGGAAGAAACATACAACAAAGAAAGATATCGCGACGCAATTCGAGATGTCATCTAGAAGAAGACGGTCTCGTAGTAGAAGTACGTCAAGGATACGTCCTCGCGACGGCGAGAGTCGCAGCAGGAGATCGTCGTCGGCAAAGAGTCGCGGCCGTGACCGAGCTAGGCATGACACACGTCGTGATTGACGATCCAGATCGCGATCCAGGTCGCATGCACGGAAGACCCCCTATCAGCGAGCATCCGACCGATATAGCTAGACGAGCGGTGAGTCCGACTTCGCAAAACTACCGGAGGTGCTGGCGGAAATAATGCATACGATTTCGAAGGGGTCCCATCGATATATCAACGAGAGAGTATTGCTAGAATTCGATCCGGAAGCTAAGAACTTGACGGCAGCAGAGTGGTTGGAAAAGGTCAGTATGTTCGGGGTGATGTACGATTGGGACGAGACACATAAACTGTATTTAGCAACTTTAAAATTGCGAGGGAATGCGAAAGCGTGGTACGACGGTCTTCGTAGCATGCCAGTTAGTTGGGAGGCATTCGTCATCGCCATTGTGAGGCAGTTTCCAAGCGATGAGAACTTTGGCAAGCTGTTTGAGGCGGCAGCTTCTCTTAAGAGTCTTCCGAGGCAAGATTTACAGACATATTCATTTGAGAAAGTCAAACGCATAAACAAGTTAAAACTCGACAGCCCCGAACGTAAAATAGTCGAGGTGGTAGTACATGGGATTCATGACGACAGCATCCACATAAACGTGATGGCGTCCAAGACCAGAACACTAGCTGAGCTATACCAATGTTTGAGCATGCTCCTGTTGTCTAAGAATGGAGAAAATAAAGTGTCGAAAGTCTTAAGAGACTCGACGGGGTTGCAGGACTTCCGTGATAAAACTCGACAGGTAGGTCATGAGAGGAAACTGGGCAATGCTGGTTACTGTTTTAATTGTAGGAAGCCAGGTCATAAGAAAATTAATTGTCCCGAACTTCTTAATGTGGAAGCGAAGCAAGTTGAAGCGGGTTCGTCTTCAAAAGAGGCAGTTGCGGCGGGGAAAAGAGCAAAATGCAGATTCTGTGGACTTTTGAGGCATTCCGATTCGGATTGTTTCAAGAGGCGACGTAAAAAAAGAATCGAAGGAAGAGCATGACCTGTACTTGAAGGGACAGATTCGTTACAAATTCTAGAGGTCGAGACCCAACCAGTAGCAAAGCCGGTTAAACGATATATAGTAGAACGGGAGACTAGAGAGTGTGTCGTCGATCGAAAAGTGATTGCTCTATCATTCAGGATAAAGTGGCGCGGCAGTTTAATCTAAGACTGTTGCAAACGGATAAGACCTTGTCTGGGTTTAATAGAACGGTAGTTACTCCTCTAGGTTGCGCACAGCTGAAAGTCTACATAGACGACATTCTGTTTGAGTTGAGAGCCTTCGTCGTGCGAGATGGTGAACTCACTAGGAAAATAATAATCGGCCGGGACGCGTTAGGCAGAGGTTAGGTAACGTCGCACTATCGTGATGCAGGAGGAATTACGTTCAAGGTAAACAAACTAAATTCTGTTGCAGCAGCTGGTGAAGTAAATTTAGTTTCGAAGATATCGTTAAGGCCAATCGAGAGTTCAGAAATAATTTGTGACGAATCTGATCCAGGGGTCTTGTCGCGGTTATGCCCCTTACTTAACAAATATAGGAAAAGTGTCGCTGTTAATACGAGTGAGTTAGGATGCATCACGGCCGGAGAGATGAAGATCGAAATGACGACTGACGAACTAATTTATCGCAGATCTTATAGAATGTCTCAGAGTGATCAGGATAAAGTACAAGCGATAATGGACGACCAGAAGAAGAACGGCATAATTAGAGATAGCGTTTCGTCATACGCTAGCCCAGTAGTCTTGGTGTGGAAGAAGAATGGTGAAACCCGCATGGCAGGATCGATTACCGGGGACTTAACAAAATCACGAGACGCATAAATTACCCGCTATCTATAATTGATGATCAAATTGATCAACTAGTAAATAAGACCACCTTCACTTCGCTTGATCTGAAGTCAGGGTTTTACCAAATTCCGATGCACCCTGAGTCAGTCAAATTCACGGCGTTTATCACTCCGGATAGGCAATGAGAGTTTCTGAAGATGCCATTTGGTCTGGCAAACGCTCCAGCTGTGTTTCAGAGGACGATGAATAAAGTCTTAAAAGAGTATGCCTTAGTGTACATTGATGACATTCTAATAGCGGCTTCGTCTAAGTAGACGCCAAAGAAGCGTTTGAAAGGTTAGAGGGGGTACTAAAGATACTTCGTACTAATAATGTAACCTTCAATTTAACCAAGTGTTCTTCCAACGGAAAATTGAATATTTAGGCCGGGAGATTTCTGCTGAAAAGGTTAGGCCAGGTGTGCACAAAGTTGATGCGGTTCTAAAAACGGCGGATCCCCAGAATGTCCGACAGGGAAGACAGTTTTTAAAGTTGGCTGGATATTTCAGGAAATTCGTTTGCAACTTTGCTTAGAGGACGGCCTCCTTGACAAACTTATTAAGAAAGAATGTTCCTTGGATCTGGGGCGAGGCTGAGTCTCGCACGGTAAGGGAGATCAAAGAGATTTTAACTGACTATTAGTTCTATACGATCCGTTACGAGAGACCGAAGTTTACACTGACGCTAGTTCTCTGGGGTTAGGGGCAATGTTAATTCAGAAGGATGGTAGTGAGAGGCGAGTCGTCGCTTAGTATAGTCGGAAAACATCTGTAGAGGAACGGAAATATCATTCCAATAACCTCGAGACACTAGCAGTAGTAGCGGCGTTAAAAGCGTTCAGGGTATACTTATTAGG